TACAATGGAACATCTGGAATTGTCAATTCCAAACACTCTAACATCCCATTGTATCTGACACCGTCTCTTCCTCAACCGTGGTAATACGGCTAACAACATAGAGATGGGATCATCATCACATTCTGTCAGATCCTCATCAATAATAGGTTGCTTTTTATGCTTAGCACGACGCAAGTCCTCCTAAACAAATGATAACAATTAATTAAACATTTATATAATTATAATACTAGAAAAGAAGTAAATAGACAATATGTATATATATATATATATATATATATATATATTACCTTGGTCTGTGTCTGATAGTGGCATAACCAAACGTCTTGGCCAAGCCAAGAATGTCCCGCTTGCCTGCCCACTAATTGAATCTCTTCATTAGGAAAAGGCACTTGGAGCATTAGCATCATTAACTTCATCAACTACTACTCGTGTCCAGCCTGGCTGTAGAGGGACACCATGGATGGTTAAGCCACCCTCAAAAACTTCGACCAACGACCCACTAGACGCGGGGGTCATCTTCAACATATAACTCACACCTGGTGTGATGCATCGAGTCTCGAGTATATTCTCCTGAAGGATCAACAGGAGTAGCAGCACAACTCCCTTTAGTGCTGACTCGAACAATATCATGTTCAATTGTTTGAGGTGTTCCTTGAGTCTCGTTGCTTGAGAGCGGCGAGAGATTCAATTTTCTCATCAAACTCTTGCTGCAAGGATTGCCTTATTTGATTTAACTTTTCTTCAAACTGCATCTCCATTTTATGCAAGGCCTCCTGGCTGCAAGAGTCGAGCAGTGGTCCTTCGTGATGTTGGACCAAAGTAATCACGAAGGCCCCAGGTTCCACCAGGACCACGCACACGTCCTGAGTAATCTGGTTTTCCTATGGCTGCCGCCAATATATCTTGTCGACCATGAGGAATAAATGATCCTTGGTCGGTCTGCTCAACTAAATCATCCTACAACACATTAACAATAATTAAGTCATACACTAACTTTCAAATTAAAATCAATTCAAATTGACATTATAACTTACGATTTTCTCGAGCAATGATTCGTGCGAGACTCAGAAGTCATTTGTCCATCAGATTTTGTCCGGGCTGCCTTCCACATCTGATAGCGAGGGGTGGAGATGCAAGGTCGAGAGAATCAACTCCTGCGACTCTTCTCTCGGATTTCATGAGACGTTGCTCCAATAATGCATACCCTCCTCGTGACAATACATGAGGTGCATCATTCAACCTCTGACGTTGTTAGGCGACTTGTCTTTTATCCTGCCAAGAGGGGTCCATTCGGCTGGCACAAAACTGTAACCAATCCTCCTCACTAATTTGATACTTTAGACAGGGAGATTCATCTCGAAACTTTCCAAATACATACTCCCGTGTCAAGAAAGTCTTAAAGTCCCTCCATCTAATGGCAATGGAGGATAAAATCTTCTTCCTCATCACCTCAGTGTTAGGAACATCAAAATTTTGCTATGAAATGACCAATAAATGTTAAATTCAATTAATAATGATATATAAAGTATTCAACAAATATAGAAATACCTGAACATCCTGCCACATGAGGTTCTTCTCGGTTTCCTCAACATCATCCCAAGATGGAGTAGTAATCGGAACATGGTGTCGAGCTAGTAGTCCCAAATAGCTCTTAAACTTAGCAGCATTTGGGCCAGATGCCTTACCAGAACGTGGATCAACTTCAACTTGAGTTTTCTCTCTAGCTACCCTCCTTGCTGTCAACCCCTTTAACCGAGTGACAGATCTACCTTTATCACCACTTCCGCTCCTGCCACTGCCACTACCACTTCCAGTACCAGCTGTGGAATCCGACATATCCTGAAAAACAAAACAATATGAAGTCAACATACTTTATAAGTTTGAATAAAAAGAACTAGAAAATGTGAAGATAAACACCTATTATGTTGGTATGTTTTCCCATATCCCTTCATCATGATCACTTCGAATTGCATGTATGTCATCAACTTCATTGTCAACTATGTCATCAAATGGTCTACTTGAAAATGAAGGTGTTTCATGTATATCTAGAGACTCATCTTCATGAATTCCGTGCATGCTTCTTCCTTCTAGGACAATTGACCATCTCTCATTACATGGATCCTTGACATAAAATATTTGTCTCGCTTGATATGCCAAAATAAAAGGTTCATCCTTATACCCAACTTTACTCAAATCAACCAAAGTAAATCCTAGGTCATCCGTTCACATCACCCGTATTCCCTTCAACCCATTTACACTTGAAGACAGGCACCCTAAAAGTAACATAATCAATTTCCCATATCTCTTGTATGACCCCAAAATAACTCATAGAAGCTGTGATAGGATTTTTGTCTTTAGAACTAGAAAAATGCATAGATTCACGTATATCTCCATGCCATGTCCATATTGTATAACTCTTAATAATACCATAAACAAACAAGTGATCACGTATATCCTCAAGTTTATGACGAATTTGATTCAAACAACGAACACATGGACAATAATATGTCCCTTTCATAGCTTTTCCATTTTCACTAGCAAATTTCAGAAATTCCTCAACTCCCTTTTCGTACTCTTCACTAATACGACGTGCATTCATCCAACTTCGATTCATATTATGTTATAAAGTTTCGTCACTCCTAAAGATTTAAAAATTATATGTAAAAAAAAATTAATATACAAACAACAAAGCACGTTCCAACAACAATGGAGTGTGTAAACCGAATGCACTCAAACAAATAAACAAATAACTGCATTCCAATAACAATCCAGTGGAGACATTCATACTATAACGTGATTGAGATCCCCAAAAACAATCACGCGATTCAATGTAAACATATAGCAATGACAATGAACACTAACCTCGAGTGTAGACGAAAACTGATTTCAAACTCGAATCCAATCGGGAGAAAGATGAAGTTCGTCAAATGACACGACAATGTAGATGTTTTTCACTCGTAAACCTGCTCGCAAATGGTGTGCGAGAGGTAGTGCATTGTCGTTGTTCTCGTCGTCGTTCTCAAAAACCCTGGTTGCGCGAGACGAGGAAGTGGGTCAGGAGGAAATAAAATAGACTTTTTACGTCGCGCGATGTAGTAAGCGACGTAAAAAGTCATCTTTACGTCACACTGGGAGGCGCGACGTAAAAGATGGCCTTTTACGTCGCGTACGGGGGCGCGACGTAAAAAGCTAAGGCTTTTACGTCGCGTCCCCCATGACGCGACGTAAAAGGCCATCTTTTACGTCGTGCCTCCCAGGTGCGACGTAAAAGATGACTTTTTACGTCTCCTATTGGGGTGTGCGACGTAAATTTTTTGTCCCATATTTACAAAATTGCCACCGCGTTTTATTTACGTCGAATATACGTGCATGCGACGACAATTGGGTGACGTAAAAGCCATATTCTGCACTAGTGCTATGTCATTGTAAGTGTCTTTGAAGAACAATATTCTTTCTTGTTTGTTTATGGTATGAATTTATTTATCTGAACTTTCACAGTGTGAGTTCATACTTCAATGTCTGAGGTTCTTAGTCATAAGGATCAATATTTTAATTGGACAATAAAGCCTTCTCTTTATTGTTAATGTCTGTCTTCAATTAGTACATTAATCTTTTTCAAGCATAATAAAAACCTCAAGTGTGTGTTTATTTATAAGTTATTGGCAAATTAACTAATTCATTCTATTTTGTGATAAATATGGATTTATTTGTAAGCATTGTTTTATATATATAATCTTTATTTTATCTTTTCGTCATTTATTGTGAATCAAATTTTCAAAAGATTTCAACTTGAGAAAAATATGGATTTATTCATCGGTATCGTTTAATCAAATAATCTTTATTTTGTCTTTTTCGTCATTCATTGTAAATCAATTTTCAAGAAATTTCAACTTACGTTATATTTGGAATAACTATGAAAGAAAAATTTGATTTGTTATATCATTGGTAGATTTTAGGACATGTTTACTTGTTTCCATGTCATTGTTATTTAATGATGTCCACTATGTTATTTTTTTATATATAAAATAAAATAAATATTAAATAAAGGGATATCCCCTATCCTTAATATTAACAAATTTTAACAAAAAATTAAGGATTATTTATATAAGATATTTTATAATTTTTAATAAAATACTATTTTTTATCTTATTTAATTTTATGGCTATGTGTATTTTCTTTTATTAATGAATCGTGATAATTAAGTTTTTTAAAGTAGTTGACAATGAATTATTGGTGGCATTTTTTTTTAATTAACAAAATTATTATATATTTTTATTAGTACGTGTGATTATGTCAAAAATATCATATTAATTATAAAAAGTACTATTTTAATAGTGAATTATATGTGTAATTGATTAGTGTAATAGTTAATTATAAGAGAATTATTGTTTTTCAAAATAATAATAAGTTTATGATATATAAAAGAATAGTGAAGAGAAAAAATTTATTGAGAATTTGAAGGTAACTTTAAAATAAATAACAGTCCAAAAAGTAATGTGAGCTATTTTTTTAATTGTGAATTTAAGGTAATAGAACGTATGGTATCCAAACATGCTTTTACAATTGACTACTCCATTAAGAAACAATAGATAAAAATGATATTTTCTAAAATAAATATCGTGAATATATACAATAACGGTTGTGGTATAACCTATCACTATATACCTCCTTCCTAATAATTTTAAAAAATAATATAACAATAATTATGATATACAATTGTGATATATGTATTTAAGTATTTTTCTTAGTATAGTATATCCCAACACATTTAAAGCACCTAAACAATTATTTTTATGTAAAACAAAAATATAATACAATGGTTTTTTTTAATCATATATATATATATATATATATATATATATATATATATATATATATATATATAATTTAATATTATTTCTATTTAAATAATTAAAATAATATAAACTAATGTACTACGTGAAGTGTTTTATAAAATGGTAAATAAGTGGTAAGAGATGTGTTTGTTTACTTTGCAGGGAATGACACTTTTAACATTTACTGCTACTGTCCCTGGATTAAAGCCTCCATGTGATTCTAATGGTTGCCATCCAACATTAGGACAAACTGCAGGTTGCTTTGTGGGACTCTACTTGATTGCTCTTGGAACTGGAGGTATCAAACCGTGTGTGTCATCTTTTGGTGCTGACCAATTTGACGAAAACGATGAGACTGAGAGGAAAAAGAAGAGCTCGTTCTTCAATTGGTTTTATTTCGCCATTAATATTGGTTCTCTCATTGCTTCCTCAGTGTTGGTTTGGATTCAGATGAATGTGGGTTGGGGATGGGGATTTGGAGTACCTGCTGTGGCAATGATCATTGCAATTATATTTTTCTTCATTGGGAGTAAATGGTACAGACTTCAAGTACCTGGAGGGAGTACCATTACAAGAATTTGTCAGGTTATCGTGGCAGCATGCAGAAAATCTGGGCTCCAAGTGCCTGATAACAAGACTCTTCTTTATGAGACTGAAGATGTAGAGTCGAACATCAAAGGGAGCCGCAAACTTGAACACACAGAAAAGTTGAAGTGAGTTATCTAAACCATTCTTGCATATTTGTTAATAGCAAAACTTTAAATTTCATTTTTCATATTAGTCTAAAGATTGATTTATATTTTAGTAAGACAAGGTTGTTGATTTCAGGTTTTTGGACAAGGCAGCTATAGAGAAAGAATCTGATCACATAGGAGAATCCTCAAATTCTTGGAGGTTGTGCACAGTGACACAAGTTGAAGAGCTGAAATCCTTAATTCATTTGCTTCCAGTTTGGGCATCCCTGATAGTCTTTGCAACAGTGTACAGTCAAATGAGCACAATGTTTGTGTTACAAGGCAACACAATGGACCAATACATTGGCCCTCACTTCAAAATCCCCTCAGCATCCCTCTCTCTCTTTGACACTCTCAGTGTCATCTTCTGGGCCCCAGTGTACGACCGAGCCATTGTGCCCTTAGCAAGAAAGTTCAGTGGCCATGAACAAGGCTTCACACAGCTCCAACGCATAGGCATAGGCCTTGTCATCTCCATCTTCTCCATGGTTGTTGCTGGCATTCTAGAGGTTGTTCGCCTTGGTATGGTCAGAAGAAACAACCTCTATGATTCTGGCACCGTTCCCATCTCAATCTTCTGGCAAGTGCCCCAGTATTTCCTTGTAGGAGCTGCAGAAGTTTTCACCAACATTGGTCAAATGGAGTTCTTTTATGGACAGGCCCCTGATGCTATGAGAAGCTTGTGTTCAGCTCTTCAACTCACCACTATTGCATTGGGAAACTATGTCAGCACTTTGCTTGTTTTAATTGTAACAAAAATCACCACAAGCCATGGAAGCATTGGATGGATCCCAGATAATCTGAATAGGGGTCATCTTGATTACTTCTACTGGCTTCTCACTGTTCTTAGCTTGATCAACTTCTTTGTGTATCTGTGGATTGCCAAGAGGTATAGGTACAAAAAGGCTACACCAAATACTCGTTAATTTGGTACACAGTTGTATAATTTTGTATACACTTCACTTGTTATGCATGGGGTTATGATAGGTTCAGTGACCTCCAAATCTTTCATTAAAAGCTAATAAACAACATATACGGAGGGAGTTTTTATGCTTAAAAAAAGTCATAAAAATATATTAAATCATAATTATTTATGAGAAGGTGAGAATAGAAGTCTCACATCAATCAAATTATATATTGGTGTTTACTTTTTCTTGATATAAAAAGAGTATAGTGTTTATCTTGTAGAGTACAGAAATTTTTTCCTTCTTTTTTCCACTAGTGTATTTGAAGATATTATTATTATTTTCTCCTAAGATTTAAAGAGGATACAGTATTTTTTTTCAATTGTGTAGAAGCAGGGTACAACGAAGTAAGTTTGTGTCTAGGAGATTATGAGTGTACTACTTCAAGAGGAAGTTTGTGTTTTCAAAATTAAAAAAAGATGAATTCTTGAACTATACTAACAATGTGAAGTGGTATTTCCTATGGATCCCACTATCCATAAGATTATTGATAGCGAGAAAACTTGATTTACAGGTTGACCAAATCTTTGTACGGTTTAAACTAGGTGTTCAAGTCTTTGTACAAGATATTTGATTTTCATTATTAGTCTTGGTTACAACAAATTGATGAGTTCAAACTATTGTACTTATTACAATAGGTTTGGTGATAATGGTTTTGTTATCTTGTCTATGTGGATTACATGTTCGTGGTTAGGCTCCAACAAAGTTCAAATCTAGTTTTTGAAGACACAGTTGGCTAGGAAGTCTAATATGAAAAATTAGGGACCAACAAACAAGATTTTAGGGATGCAAATTCACCGAAACAGAAAAGATAGGAATGTTTGTCTTTATTAGAAAAATTACTTATTGAAGGTCTTACAATGTTTTAACATGCAAGAGTGTACTCCTGTTTCTACCTCATTTTCTATCAAGTTTTTTCAAGTATGATTCCTAGCAACGAAGCGGGAAGAATGAAAATGTCTTGAATACTGTATGCATCGACGATGGAAAATCTTATGAATACCATGATCGGTACAAAACCAAACATTGTACAAGCATTGTGAGCGGTTAGTAGATTAATAATAAATTATGGTGGAGAACATGAGTATTATCAAGATAATTCTTATCAAAGGAACCTTGCATGTTGTCCATCTATAAAAATCTCCATGTTGTTACCGCTCTCGAAAATCCCTAACCGTGGTATCAGATGGTTCATCTGGTAATTGGTTCAGTTGAGTATGATTAGAGTAGATGAAAAATCCTTATATTGAAAGTCTTCCTAATAAGGGTTTCAGGCAAGCGAGTCTCGTTGAGTTAAATAACGATACAAGTAAAGTCACTACTAGGTACTCATACACTACAAGAAAAACACTAAATAGTAACCGAAAATTCGGTCACTAAATGTGCAAAATCGGTTACTAATTAAAATAGTGACCAACTGGAATCGGTCACTATTTCCTTGGTCACTGATTTTAGTGACCGATTCAGTGACCGAATATATATAATCAAATCGGCCACTGATTCAGTCACTAAATCAATGAAAAAGAATAACAAATTTAATTATTTTTATTTATTTACATTTTTATTATATCTATTATTTATTTTCCCTATCTCTTAATTATATTATATTTTTGCTTATTTAAGTTTTTATATCCCTATCTCTTACTTATATTATATTTTTTAGAAGTTTAACTTATTATTAGGTGGTCTACTCGTCATTGTCGGATTTGAACCCGGTACCTTAGAGTTGGAGGCTAAAACTCCAACCACTGAGCTACTAGAATCTTTTAATAATAACTTACAAATAAATTATATTTATATACAAATAAATGTATATCCATATAAATATATAAATATAAAATCTATAAATAAAAATATATTTATATATTTTAATATATATTTTAATATTGATATATTTTAATATATATTTAAATATTGATATATTTAAATATTGATATATTTAAATATTGATATATTTAAATATTGATATATTTAAATATTGATATATTGATATATTTATATATTTATATCTTTATATTTTTACATATATTTATATTTTTATATATTTATATCTTCATATTTTTACATATATTTATATGTTTTCATATTTATATATAAAGATATTAGTTTTCTATACAAATAATATTATAATATAGTATATTATACTATTAGTATAGTATACAAATAATATATTAGTATAGTATAGTATACAAATTATTAATTTTGTAATTTATATACAATAAAAATAATATAATGGTATATTAGTATAGTATAGTATATTTGTATTCTAATTTTTAATTAAATTAAAATTATGCTAATAATGTATATTAATATATGAGGGGATAATATTGATATATATATTGATATATTTGTATATATATATATATATATATTTATATATATTTATATATATTTATATATTTATATATTTATATATTGATATATTTATATATTAATATATTTATATATTTATATTTTGATATATTTATATTTTGATATATTTATATATTTATATATTTATATATTTATATATTTATATATTTATTTATATCCTTATACATTTATATCTTTATATATTTATATATTTGAAAAAAATATATTAAATTTTAAAAATAATATTATATTTTTAAAAATAAATATAAGAAAAAGATTTAAAAATATATATAAATTATATTTACATTTACAAAATATTAAAGATATATGTTTATATCTTTACATATTTATATATATTTATATATTTATATGTTTATATTTACTTCTAATAGCGGTTGCACCATCGCTCGAGCGAGATTATAGTCGCTCAAGCGAAATACAACCCGAGAATGTCAATTTTGTGCAGGGGCGTTTCGCTCGAGCGAGAAGAGTATCGCTCAAGCGAAATACATTTTAGATAGCGGTTACACAGAACCGCTCTTAAAAGCTCACTTAGATAGCGGTTAATCCGAAACCGCTATTATATGGTTTCAATTATGATCGATCAGAATGAAATTATGACCGATCAGAACTCTTTAATCGATTAAATCTCATTTCAATCGATTAAAACAATTTCTGCACAACGTTTTAATCGATTAAAACTTATTTTTATCGATTAAAATAACTTGAAAAGTTTTACAAGAAACTTATATTTATATATTTATATTTTTATATTTTTATATTTTTATATTTTTATATTTTTATGTATTTATATTTTGATATATTTATATATTGATATATTTATATATTTATTTATATCCTTATACATTTATATCTTTATATATTTATATATTTGAAAAAAAATATTATATTTTAAAAATAATATTATATTTTTAAAAATAAATATTAGAAAAAGATTTAAAAATTCTCAATTCTACATTTTTGTAAATTCTATCATTATATTATCATGCTCATTATATCAAAATGTTAAATACTTTTAAATATTAAAATTAACTTTATAAAAAATTAGGAAAAAAAATTAATCCAAAAGAGTTCAAAAATGTATTATAATATTGTCAATTTTGAGTTTAATTATATTGTTCATTCTCAAAGTAGAAAAAGATTTAATAATAATAAATTTAATTCTTTAAATTCAGTAGTTAGAAACTAAAATTATAGTTTCTGTGTTTTAAATAATTAAAATAAATATTTAAAAATAAAAATCAAAACTAGTATTATCTTAAATTTATTAAAAGTGTAATTAAATATCTATTTTCTTAATTTTATTTGTTTCAAACTTCTCAATTCTACATTTTTGTAAGTTCTATGATTATATTATCATCCTCATCTCCTCCCATGTTCTACTTTATCTTTACAATAGTCAATATTCTTAACTAATTTATAGTTTTAATTATAATTTTTTAGTATATATTTTGAAATTAATCAATTCTAATCTATTATTTGAAAAACTAATCAATAATTTAGAAAACTAATCGATTATAATTAATTATTTGAAAAAATTATCAAATATGATCGATCATTTTGAAAATATAATCGATCAGAATTGGATTTCGCTTGAGCGAGAGTAGTCTCGCTCAAGCGAAATTTACTTCGAATATCGTATAAGCCTTAACCGCTATCATATATACACTTCAGATAGCGGTTATAAGGGAACCGCTATTATATCCTCTCAATTATGATCGATCATTTCAAGTTATGATCGATCAGAATCGTATTTCGCTCAAGCGAGAGTAGTGTCGCTCAAGCGAAATACAACCCGAGAATGCCAATTTTGTGCAGGGGGCGTTTCGCTCGAGCGAGAATATTGTCGCTCAAGCGAAATACATTTGAGATAGCGGTTCCACAAGAACCGCTCTTAAAAGTGCACTTCTAATAGCAGTTAACCATTAACCGCTATCTAAATTATACTTTAGATAGCGGTTAACGTGGAACCGCTATCATATCTTCTTATGAAAACTTACCTTAACTATTTTTTTGAATATTATGTTTTTAAATTTGCTATTAGAGAAAACCTTTCAGAATTCAAAATGTTAAATACTTTTAAATATTAAAATTAACTTTATCGAAAATTAGGAAAAAAAATTAATCCAAAAGAGTTCAAAAATGTATTATAATATTGTCAATTTTGAGTTTAATTATATTGTTTATTCTCAAAGTAAAAAGTATATTGTAACTAGTTTAATTTAATAAAATATAATTTAAATTTTTAATACTAAAATTAAAAGATTTCGTTGCATGAGGTTTCTTCACTTAAAAGATTTTGTAAAATGACTCTACAAATGTTTTTAACAATTAAAAACAAAGTATTTTGACAAAAACTTTCTCAAATGCCTCTACAAAGTATTTTTAACAATTATATTGAGTTTAATTCTACAAATTAAAAGATTAAATAATAATAAATTTAATTCTTTAAATTCAGATAGCTAGAAACTAAAATTATAGTTTCTCTGTTTTAAATAATTAAAATAAATATTTAAAAATAAAAATCAAAACTAGTATTATCTTAAATTTATTAAAAATGTAATTAAATATCTATTTTCTTAATTTTA